TTCTTCGGACAGCCTTATTCTAGCCGCGTGTTCTCTTGAAATTACATGATAATTCCTCGCGAATATTTAGGCATCTACAGTAGATTATCCAGATTTAAGGTTCATCAATACTCTGATAAGAGGGGTAACTCTTAATTACATAAATATCTATTATTCCTTTATAATCCTGTCAAGTTGAAGTGTCTTTTTTGTCAATTTTTGCCCCGCTAGCTGTGCTATAATTGTTTATATTTTACTTAAAAAATACATTTCTTTTGGAAAGTCATAAGAGTTAAAGAAACATTTTTATGAGTGAGCAAAGGGTTTATGAACCTTTAAAAAAAATTTGTTTCAACTCATAGTAAACTCTGATTAGTAAGTAAGGGTTAATGTACGAGTAGTGCTCCATTCCTTAAGTAATGGAGCCGAGGCCCCGAAGGGACCGAGGCCCATTGCTCTTAAGGAATGGGGCGCTACGAGTATATTAACCTGCGTAAAACCACATTTTTAAATGCTTGTAATTATTGTTTGTTAATATATAATAAAGAATATTAATAAGATACAGTGTAAATAATTATACATTTAACATAGTAGTATTTATTTATATAAAGAGAGAAAGTAAGGCGAAAGAAGTGTACTGAAGTTATTTAAAGCCGCTGTCATTCATCAGCTTCAATAGCGTAGTGAGATGAGTACCTGACTCCGAAAGAGAAGGTACGGGGTTCGATTCTCAGCTGTGCCACATTTATTTTCTTTACGTGTAAATAAACTTGTTAAAATTTTCTAAGTTCTTTCCTTGCTAGAGGTACGGGAAGGGGATTATAAAAATAACAAATTCTGTTTTCAGTGTAATTTGCAACTCTCCGTTCCTGAAAAATAATGGAGCGCTCAAACAAAAGAGTGACGTCACAGGTGGATTTTACTGATCTGTAATGGTCCAAACTCTATTGTAGCATTTCTTGATGTCATGAGGGGATGCTCTGCTTGGCAGTGATCTTCAGTTTTGTATCCTCACACAGAGCAACACTGGAATAAGAGAAAAATGCAGCAAGAAGAGACCTCATTTCAAAGGATCTACATCTTTGGGAACCAGAAACAAAATTAACAGAAGTAAGTCAGGGGACCTTCTATGCAGTCAGATATAACAATGTGTACATGTACATTCATTCTTAAGTATTTCTATTGTTTTAGTAGAATTAAATGTAAATCAACTATTATTCAGAACATTTTTGTGCCTGAGGAATTTTTCTACATAAATACACAATGAAACAAATATTTCCGTGCAAGAAAATTGTTTGCAAATAAAAGAAGTTCACCAAATTCATCGATATTTTTCAGCATGTGAATAATAGTTGGTTTACAGTAATTCCTCACTGCAAACAATATAATACATGTATTTATACAAGTATCCTTTTGTCAATAGGTTACCTTTGACAAGAGGGACTACCATAGGCATGTCATGAGATGACCTTGTTAAACTAATGCATAGTAAGGTAAATAACAAGGTCAATGTGTCTCTAAGTAACTGAAATTACAGTTGTTATTGTATTGCTTAGTGTTTATTTCACTTCCTAAATATCTATTGTCTCTGATTAGAATAAACCCAGGTATAAATAAAGTCTTTGTCAAGATATAAGTCTATGAAATTTATGGTCCTCCCCCCAGGCATGAGGGATGGGGCTAGAACCATCAAAATATGTGCTATTTTAAAAAAATCTTCTTTACCCCTGGTAATCATGCAAGCTGTCAAACCGTTAGCATGTCATTGTCAAATATAAGCACAAGTCCTCAACCAAAATTGTAAAATTCATGGCCCCAGGGTCAGGAGTTTCAGAGTTAGGGCAGCTCTAATGATCTTAATATAATTATATTAAAAATGCCTAAATTCTTTATAAATCCTCTTATTTCTCCCTCAGTATATTTAGCAGATAAACAAGGTGCATGTTTTTGATAAGCAAGAGTGCCTCTTCAAAAATTGTGAAACTCATAACCCCTAGGTCAGAGGATTTGGTGTTAGGGTAGGGCTCTGTTGAATATATTCTGAAATTGTATTGATTCTTTGAAAATCTTAATTCTTTTCTGCCTCTGGATATTTAGCAAACATAGTTAATGATAAAGATGAGTATGGGTGCCTCTTTCAAAATTGTGTATTTCTTGGCCCTCTAAGTCTAAGACGGGATTTTATTGATTATACATGTCTAATGGAAATACTGTAACATTATTTCTTTGAAAATCTTCTCAGCTCCTGTTTATTAAGCAAACTAAGTGCATAGTAATGATGAGCAAGCGTACCTCTTGCAAAATTGTGAATTAATCATAGCCCTTGTAAGGAATTCTGGTATTGGGGTAGGGCTATGGTGAATCTATTGTGAAAATGCATTATTCTTTGAAAATCTTCTTCTTTGCTCATGGGGATCTATCTTATCAGATTTTTGAAATTCTGGACCACTTTGTCAAGTGTGTTCAGGTGCTAGGCAGGTTAATTAATTTGTATTCTATTAGAGAAATTATTCCATTTCGATACCTTATGATAATTAATCACTGTAGATAATGTAATTGAAATGTCGATTGAATAAAAGAATTATACTAAAAAAATTTTAATATAATCCAAAAAGTATTTTCATTGTATTTAATGGTATGAGATTGGTTTTTTAAATAGTGCTGAAGCACTACTCTTTTGTTTAGTCAAAATGGTGATAGAGACATGGGGGCAAGTACTGGCAAATAATAAATAAATCTACTTTTAAGATTTGTTACTGAGGACTAGTTTGATTACTAGGATTTTCTTGATCCCTGATCATCCTATTTCTCTTGCTTTTGGGCAACATAGCTTCATCTATCAATTTATTTTATTTTATACTTCTGTGGATCATTTACAATATGTTGTATTTTACTCAGGTGACTATTAAGGACATTGTGCCTCTTGTTATTAAGTGTCAGTGTCCATCACCCCTTTCACCACTCCCCTGAGAAGTGATTAAAAAAAGACACTTGTATCTGACAGGTTGAAGAGGAGACCAAAGGATGGTGCCGAAAGTTTTTCTTCAAAGACGTGGATAGGGGATTTGCAGCCTTACAGAAATTGGTGGAAACAACTGGTAATAGCAAGACTGATGGATGTTGACCCTGCAGGCCGCAGCTAGGTTAAGGACTCTCATAGGAAGTATGCCCATTATATATTTTATGAAAAAGATACAATATTAAAAAAAATTTAATCAGTGTCATTTTAGTTGAATCGGGAATTCTGCTGTCTGTATAAGTATATGGGGGTCTCTGCCAAGTTTGGCAAAAGAGACATTACTTACATGATCTGTCATGTTAGGGGTTAAAATTAGAAAATATGTGTACAGCTACAAAAATTGTGAAAGTTTCAATGATATTAGGGATGTCAACGAATATTTGAGTACTCAATTATTGTTCAATCATCACTATCAACTAATACTTTTTTACTTGGTTATTCGTAAAAATTTGCTACTCATTACTAATACTAAATTCAAGGTAATAAAATTGGATCCGCCCAATTCATTTCAAACGCATCAGTGTTCTCCTGCGTAAAACTATGGCTTAACCAGTCTAAGTTGATTGCTTAACGGAACTTAATTGCATCTGGTTTTTGGTCAGCAAACATGCCTTCAAAATCTACAGTTTGAACATACTTTAAAATATGTCACAATGAAAAAATGTTAAAGGTATGTTTTGTGAAAGACTCGCTGCAAAAATGCTAAAAAGAAAAAAGAGCTGTTGCTATCATGAACCTGATTATAAAGCATTGTCTGTAACCTCTTAGTGCTGCAAATGGAGAGGGCTTTCAAGAACTATCTGGTTTACTAGAACTGTATATACCATAAGATCACACATAATGCAACTGATAATTGATTAATTACATGTATAATTAAACAGCTGTTATATATTTGTACATACATATGAATTGGGGAACAGTTATGAGAATAATTTAATGGTGTTAAAAATCTTCATCTTGGTCATATTATGCTTATTTCATATTCTGATATTTACAAGCTATGATTATAATAGCTTGATCCATGCCTACACTACAGAGAAACCATGTCAAACTTAAGTCAGTGATATCTCAATACAGCAAGATCGTTAGCTTTCATTTCTATATTCGGTTAATGTTATTTAGGCTGGATAATTTGCATATCAATTTATATTTACATATCTATGGAAAACAAAAGTATTTGAGTGTTAAGGAAAAGAACAATTATATTTTTCATCTAGTTTCATTTGTTTTAACTTTGAACAGGCAGATGTGGAATATGGGAGTCCTTAACCTAGCTGCCCCTCCAAGATGTGGAAATGAGCAGATACTATCAGATCGGAATTGGTGGAAAAATCTGGAAAAGGCAAGATTGAAGGACATGGACTCTTCACGGTGTGGAAATGAGCAGCCACAGCCAGACAGGAAATGGTGGAAAAACCTGGAAAAGGCAAGACTGATGGATGTTGACCCTCCAAGATGTGGAAATCATCGGAGCAGCTACAGCCATACAGGAATTGGTGGAAACAACTGGAAATGCCAAGACTGATGGATGTTGACCCTCCAAGATGTGGAAAGGAGTAGCTACAGCCAGACAGGAATTGGTGGAATCATCTGGAAAATGCAACGCTGATGGACCTTAACCCTCCAAGATGTGGAAATGAAGAGAAACAGCCAGACAGGAATTGGTGGAAACAAGTGGAAAAGGGAAGACTGATCAACGTTGACCCTCCAGGATATGGAAATGAGCAGTACAGTGAGACAGGAATTGGTGGAAACAAGTGAAAAAGACGACACCAATGGATGTTGACCTTTCCAACAGCAAGAACAACTGTCACTGATCAGGTATGTAATATATAATCAATGATCCAAGACTATTTTGGAAAAAGTACAGCAAAAGAATATTTGATCCTTGAGCTATATGATAATTTACTTAGATTTGTTTGTTCTTTTCATAATTTTTGCCTTATACTGATAGACACTTAAGTATATTCACTTTTATTTTATAGTGTGCTTTGATGATTTGATGACAGTACCCAGTAGGAGACTCAGATGAAGTCATGTTGGTGTGCTTGACATTATGAATGATGAGGATCCCTCAGGTACGTGAAAGTTACCTTAGTATGCCATTCTCTATGACTCTTAGTTGTTCCTCATTTTTATTTCATTGGACCTGATTATTACCTTTTGTTCATTCTTTTACAGAAACTAAAGGAGAATCAATTACCCCTTTCACCTCTTCCCTGAAAAGTAGTTAAAAAAATTACACACTTGCATCAGACAGGCTGAAAAGAAAACTTTTAAAAAATGGTGTTAGTGAAGTTTTTCTTCAACAATGTGGAAAAGGGCATCTACAGCCAGACAGGAATTGGTGGAATCATCTGGAAAATAAAATGCTGAAAGATATTTACTCTCCAAGATGTGGAAATGAAGAGCTACAGCCAGACAGGAATTGGTGGAAACAAGTGGAAAAGAGAAGACTGATTGACATCGACTCTCCAGGACGTGGAAATGAGCAGGTACAGTGAGACAGGAATTGGTGGAAACAATTGGAAAAGAGAAGACTGATAGACTTTGTCCCTCCAGGATGTGGAAATGAGCAGCTACAGCAAGACAGGAATTGGTGGAAACAAGTGATAAAGACGACACTGACGGATGTCGACCTTCCCAACAGCAAGAACATAACACAATGGATACCTGTCACTGATCAGGTATGTAATATAATCAATGATCCAAGACTATTATGGAAAAAAGTACAGCAAAGGAATATTTGATCCTTGAGTTATATAATAATTTACTTAGATATGTTTGTTCTTTTCATAATTTCTGTTTTATACTGATAGAGACTATGTTGACCCTCCAAGATGTGGAAAGGAGCAGCTACAGCCAGAGAGGAATTGGTGGAATCATCTGGAAAATGTAATGTTGGACCTTAACCCTCCAAGATGTGGAAATGAAGAGCCACAGCCAGACAGGAATTGGTGGAAACAAGTGGAAAAGAGAAGACTGATCGACGTTGACCCTCCAGGATGTGGAAATGAGCAGCTACAGCCAGACAGGAATGGTGGAAATAAGTGGAAAAGACAAGACTGATGGATGTTGACCTTTCCAACAGCAAGAACATAACCCAGTGGATAACTGTCACTGATCAGGTATGTACTGTCAATGATTCTAGCCTGCAAGGGCTGTTTGGAAATTTTGAGACATTGTGGCTATTCTTCTTTCTAATGAATGCCTTTTGGTAAAATTTGGCATATACGATTGACAGACACCAAAAATTAATAAAAGCAGGAAATATTTTAAAATATTTTATTTCTTCTTTTCAATGGCATATTAATAATTTGATGGAAGCTGGGGTACCCGGCACAGTCACGAAATCAAATATTGAAAATATGTAGCACCTATTTTCAAACTCCCGATGGACTTAGAGCGAAAATAATTCAAATTATGTATATATTTTTTCAATTTTATTTTGACTCCATTTTGTGCAACTTTCTTAGAATTTTGATCAGAAATAAGGAGATCATTAAAAAAAATCAAGCACAGTATAGAAATCTGATTACGATTACAAAATGAATTTTGCCATAAAGGCGGCGCAGCAAATATACCTAAAATTTTGTGTAGCACTGTGGAGAACTCTTGTCCAGATTAAACAACCTGCTAAAACAATAACAATGGGAAAAACATGTCTAAGAGTTTGTTTGTTTTTTTTTTCATTGGTATATTATATTTTTTCTAAACAAATAATTCAACCAGAGTAAAAAAAAAGGCTTCAGATGACCATCCATTATTACACATTAAATAATGTTGACCCATGGTGCAAAAATCGGTATTGCATGATACTAAGTCAATCTGTGTATGACACTTCATGTAATTTTACATTAGGCAGCAACACACTTTATACAATTTTTTTAAGAATCGTTTAAGAAAAGAGAGAATTTGATTTCTAAAATGTTTTATGTGGTGACAAAGAAAGAAAAAGTTAACGCTTCCTGATGGTTTTAACATGAGAAAAGATCTAAGGCAGGGGTGATGTTAAGATGACATAGCAATGCTGCTCCATGTCATTAGATATATGCAAGATTATAATTTCACCGGAACTAACTATCCTGTTAATTTGAAATTTTGCACATTTGTTTTATTTGTTGATGAATTTTCATGAATTTATCTCTTTCCTTCATGGAGTTAAAGTAAATGTCTCAATAATTTCCAAACAGCCCTCATATTTTTGAAAAAAGTACAGCAAAAGAATATTTGATCCTTGAGCTGTATGATAATTTACTTAGATTTGTTTGTTCTTTTCATAATTTTTGTTTTATACTGATAGACACTTAAGTATATTCATTTTTATTTTATAGTGTGCTTTGATGATTTGGTGACAGTACCCAGTAGGAAACTCAGATGAAGTCATGTTGGTGTGCTTGACATTATGAATGATGAGGATCCCTCAGGTACGTGAAAGTTACCTTAGTATGCCATTCTCTATGACTCTTAGTTGTTCCTCATTTTTACTTCATTGGACCTGATTATTACCTTTTGTTCATTCTTTTACAGAAACTAAAGGAGAATCAATTACCCCTTTCACCTCTTCCCTGAAAAGTAGTTAAAAAAAATACACCCTTGCATCAGACAGGCTGAAAAGAAAACTTTTAAAATATGGTGTTAGTGAAGTTTTTCTTCAACAATGTGGAAAAGAGCATCAACAGCCAGATAGGAATTGGTGGAATCATCTGGCAAATGCAATGCTGATGGACCTTAACCCTCCAAGATGTGGAAATGAAGAGCTACAGCCAGACAGGAATTGGTGGAAACAAGTGGAAAAGAGAAGACTGATGTTGACCTTTCCAATAGCAAGACATATCACCGTGGATAACTGTCACAGATCAGGTATATGACTTAATCAATAATCCAACATCTTTTAAAAAAAAGTACAGCAAAAAAGTATCATTTTAGGTCTATGTAATATTTTGCTAAGATATGTCTATTCTTTCCTTAATTTCTGTCTTATACTATTATAGATGCTGATTGTATTAATTTCTATTTTATAGCGTGCTTTGATGTTTTGGTGACAGTACCCTGTAGGAGACTCAGATAAAGTCATGTGGATGTGCTTGACAATATGAATGACAAGGAGCCCTCAGGTATGGGAATAAGTTACCCAAGTATGCCATTCTGTAAAAATCTGTTCTTCATTTTCACTTTGTTGGTTCAAATGGTTTAATACCTTTTTTTTCTCATTCATTGACAGAAAATAAAAGTATTGAAGAGGCAAATCCTTGTGATCATGTTTGGAGAAAGACAAAGAAATGACAATTAATGCAGGAAGCCAGATCTGTGAAGCACACATGTACAAGCACATCCGTTTACAATATTATTTTTTTATTGTCCAAAACAAATTTTTTGAAACATTTGTTTTGGAAATGGGTGTCTGAGTTGTAAGAGCTAGGGTATGGGGTCACCTACTCAGACACGTGGGTTTTCTCCGGGTGCTCCGGTTTCCTCCCACACTGACCCCATTCTTTTTCTCTATGCCAATGAGATAATTGCATTATCTTTGAAAATATTGTAATGTAAAAATCTTTTATTATCTATTGTTTTGCTATAATTGTGATTAGTCTGTACAAATTAATTCAATCAAGCTATTGTAATAAGATGTTAAATGGTGACGAAGAATGAATGTAAATCAGCATTTATTATATTGATGTGACTAGTTCTGTGGTGAAAGTAAATGTTTCTTGTTTGTATTAGTAAATGTACATTTGTGACAGTCAATGATGAATTGTAACTAGTTATGCAGTGAAAATACATGTAAATGTTAATTGTGTTAGTAGTCAATGTTAAACTGTGACAGTGAATGGAGAATTGTGAATAGTTATGCAGTGAAAGTACATGTACATGTGAATTATATATAGTAGTAAATGTTAAATTGTGTCAGTGAATGATAAATTGTGACCTAAGTTATGCAATGAAAGTAAACGTAAATGTTAAATTAGCAGTAAATGTTAAATTGTGACAATGAATGGCAAATTGTGACTAGATATATGCTGTGAAAGTAACATGTAAATGCTAATATTGTTTGAGCAGTCTATGTTAATTTGTGACAGTGAATGATGAAATGTGGCTAGTTATGCAGTGAAAATACATGTTAATGTTAATTGTATTAGTAAATGTTAAAATGAGACATTGAATGAATAATTTTTTAAAAATTTTCTGATATCATTGGCCAAAGTTTTGTGCAGTGTTAAAAATTCACAACCAATAAAAAAAAAGGAAAGAAAAAAAGAAAACAATGCAAGAGAAAAAAAGAAAGAAAAAAGTGAAGAAAAAAAAACAAAAGAAAAAAAGGCCACAAAAAAAAAGAAAGAAAAAAAAGCAAAAAAAAAAAAAGCAAAAAAAAAAAAAAAGCAAAACAATAGAAAAAAAGCACAAAACTTTTAATGCTGCCTGCTTGAAAAAAACATTGCTTTCATTTTTGCATTTTTTTCTAAGCAGAAGGTTCCAAGCCCTTAAAAGCAGAGGAGAAGTTTTTTGTGTTATTAGGTCATCCCAGTCCATAAGGTGACTTATTGCTATCTGTTTTTTAAGCTCACCTCGACAAAGTCGAGATGAGCTTAAACTACACCCCCGGCGTCGGTGTTAGCATCGGCGTCCCTATTAAAGTTTTAGGAGCAAGTCTATTCCCAAGTAACTATAATCCCTACCTGGACCAAACTTGTATGGATGATGCATCTTGGGATGGACACTACCATACTTGCTTTGTATGCTGGATCTGACCTAGATTTTTCAGATGAGTGACCAGGTTGAAGTTTTTGGAGCAGGTCCATTCCCAAGTAACTATAAGCCCTACCTGGACCAAACTAGCATGGATGATGCATCTAGGGATGGACCCTACCACACTTGCTTTGGATGCTGGATCTGACCTAGATTTCCAGATGAGTTTTTGGAACAGGTCCATTCCCAAGCAACAATAAGCCCTACCTGGACCAAACTAGCATGGATGATGCATCTAGGGATGGACACTACCATACTTGCTTCGGATGCTGGATCTGACTTAGGTTTTCCAGATGAATGACCAAATTAAAGTTTTTGGAGCAGGTCCATCTCCAAGTAACTATAAGCCCTACCTGGACCAAACTTGCATGAATGATGCATCTTATTAGGGATGTACACTAACCAACCTGCTTCAGATGCTGGATCCGACCTAGATTTTCCACATGGATGAATTTTAGCCATATTTTAACCAAATTAGCATGGATTATGTATCTAGGGAAGGACACTTGCAGACTTGATTTGGATTCTGAATCTGACCTACATTTTCCAGATGAGTGACTAGGGTATAATTTTTTTGGTGTAGCTATATTATATTATGGCCTGTTATGAATTAACTTGCATAGATGGTGCATCTAAGGATGAAAGCTTCCAGACTTAATTGCTTTGGATGTTGGAACTGACCAAAATTTTCTTGATTAGTAAACAAGTTAAAAGTTTTTTGAGTAGGTCTATTTCCAAGTAACTATAAGTCCTACTTAAACCAAACTTGCATGGATATTGATCTTGGAATGTACACTAACTAGGAAAATAAATATGATGTGAAATTTGCCTTACTTATAGATAACATTCATCGAGGTGAGCTTCCTAATCTTTGATTACCTATGTTTGCCTATTGGTTGTAAATGAATATTTTAAACATTTTCAGCTTTCTCTCTGGAACCACTGAACTAATTACAACCAATTTTGCCATTTAACATCTATGGGTGAATGGGAACAATTAAAATTTATTTTATGCTTCATGGCGTCCATGCCATTTCTTGAATAGAATTGTGACTGGGCAAATTTAAAATGGGGCAAAATTCATACATGTGATAAGTCAAAGACCACAAAACTGTACAGGAGCCATAAAAAAACTGGAATTTGGGTGAAAAAACTGTACACTGCCTATCAAAAAACGGTACAAAAAATGGTATAAAATATCACTTAAATTCTTCTGAAATTCCAGCGTAATCATTGTAATAAACATCGTATATTTTATACCTACGAAGATCTGGGTCAGATTCACGTATATTAAGTCATGTATATCAACTTTACAAGTTGGCTTAATTTTTTTCAATCAAGTTACGTATTCATGGTATACGAAACATCAACAGTAATTAAGTACCCCTTAAAAAATAAAGCTACCTAAAAGGGTATTTGATACGGATTTATAGCAAGATAATTATCCCAATTGGCAGTTCACACCTTCGCACGCGATGGTTTGTGTACACTACACAATTATCAGAAGGTCAAGTGTCAAACACAGGTGACGTTTCCAGTGTCTCGCGAGCGAGAATGAGAGGAAAATGGCGGCATTTAGCGAGAAATTCAAAATACTGTACAAATTTTCATATTCCGTGAATTTGGTGTCCCGCCGGTACACGATGAATGGGCTCGAAAAACTGTACATTTTGCGTACAGCCTGTACATATCACATGTATGAAAATTGTTTGCAAGAGACGAAAATAACCCTGTATACAGAATAGTTTTTAATATGGCCAGGTATGGCATAGTGATAGTGACAAATGCGAAAAAGAAAAATTGATCTACTTTATTATTTGTTACCGAGTAGTATATTACCTTTCTGACCATTCACGGTAGCCCAGTCGGTAGAGCGCTCGCTCATTGATCAGCAGGTCGTGAGTTCGAACCTCGACCACAACTGACCTAAGTAGATAAAAAATGGGTAGCAACTGTTCCTTCACCATGACCTCGGCACTTTGAAGTGAAAGTTGCGGGTCCTTTGGATGAGACCTTAAAAACTGAGGCCCCATGTCATGGCAGTTGTTGGTACGATAAAGATCCCTCGACACTGCTCAATGATCCCGAGTGCTGAGTAAAGGTAAAAATTTGAAGCCCTTCACCGGTATATGGTGACGTCTCTATAGTTTGCATTTTATTCCTCTTCAGAGATTTTTGACATAAATATTGCCTTTTTAATTTCTAATGGGGGCCAGTTTTCCAGCTTCCCCTCCCCCCTAAACTCTAGCTTGCAGATATACCACTTTTTTGTCATGAGTCTACCTACATGTACTTTAGCCAAGTTAAAGTAGATTAATTAAGTTTGCATTTTGTTCTGCTCCAGTGATTTTTGACAATTATAAGGAAAAAAGTTTTTATTTGTAATGTAATTCAACCTTGCACAGCTTTTTCCACTTTGAAATGCACTCTTCAGTACCCAAAACTGCTAAAGCCACAAAAACTCATGATTCATGATGGTATAAACACAATTTATTTTTGCCAAGTTATTTTAAGGGACATAAAGTTATGAAAAATATCAGATAATATCATAAAAACAATGCTTATAATTAATCACTCTTTTCTCCTCTCCTTGTTCATCTGTTGTATAGTTCTTCTACGCACAAGCCTCCAATACTTTTGAGTGCCAGGTTCATGTTCATAAGCACCTCTTTCTATTTTTAGATTCCAGAGCCATTCTGGATACTCACTGTCTGGCTTTATTTTTGGGTCAGATCTTTTGTTCATAAGATGTTTGCACCACCTACATATTTACACATGCAGTTTTTCAAGGTCTTTTTCAGCATCCATGAATTTGTCCACCTTTTTTGCAAGTCCTTTTACAACAAAAAAATTGCCAAGGATTAATATTGATCACCATATATGAGTACAAGCACTACTACCCCCCCCCCCCCCCTTCCATGATTTGAACAAATTTGAATCTACTCTACCTGATGATGCATTGGCATTAATATGACTAAGAATGACTTAATTAATGTGCTGTTCTTGAGAAGAAGATTTCTTTTAGATATTTTCTATAAAATCCTTTGTAAAACTTTGATCCCCTGTTATGGCCCCACCCTTCTCCCAGGGGGACATGACTTTAACAAACTAGAATCTACAGTATGTAATGATGCTTTCACACAAGTTTCATTTTTTCTGACTTGGTGGTTCTTGAGAAGAACTTAAAAAGATTTTTAAATGATATCACCAAATTTTCACAAATTCTTAAAATTATCTCCCCTTGAAAAAGGACATGGTACTTCCTTTGAGGAAACATTTATAAACCCCCTTCACTCAAGGATGTTCTGTGACAAGACTGGGTGAAATTGGCCCAGTGGTTGTTGGAAAGCAGTCAAAAATGTGAAAAGTTTACAGACAACATAATCAGACAGACTTTTGAATCAGGTGACCTAACAAAGGGCCCATGGACCACAACACTCTCCTGAGTAACTAATGACCATGCTGATTTTCCCCCTTTAATACTTACAGTGGCCCCACCCTATCCATGGGTCCATGGGGGTCATGATTTCAACAATTTAGAAGTTATCTTACCTAAGGAAGCTTCCACATAAGTTTCAACTTTTCTGGCCCATGATTTTGAGAAGATTTTAAAAGATTTTTCCCATATATTTCAATGTAAAACTTATATTTTGATTCCCTACTGTGGCCCCACCCTATCTCGGGGGGAGGGGGGGTGTAATCATTTGAACAATTAGAATCTACACTACCCCAAGATGTTTCCACATAAGTTT